TAAAATTACCACACGACCACACTATCACAGGTCACACAAAACCTAACTGCGCATTGGTGACACATGGAACACTTCTTAACGTGTCGACCTTCTCAAAAAAGACCAGACAAGCAGGAGGTAGATTAGGATGCAGTGGTCTCCAAAGCCACTAGCCCTTCCCTACTGAGGACTTAGAGACCGAGGAACCATTAAATAGAGTTAGCCGAAGTTTCTACCTTTGTGTGTTGATTATATTTATCGGTCTAGGAAGCACCGACCTCAAGAGTTAGTGCTATATCTCACGACTGTCAACGCTCTGACTCATATAACGGAGATGTAACAGTAATTAACGCAAGCAAACAGGAAGAAACGGAGGAATAAAGCGAATATAGAAGAGTTTAAAAAAGCGAACAATCAACGGATGAATAATAGATAACGGGATATAACGCTCTTAGAGAAACGGTTGAAATCCAACAGGTGTTCATATATAATAACAGACCGATATAGATAACGGATACTTAGCTTGTGATTAGATATTGCAACCAAATCAATCAACGGATATGTAATTTATGATAAAACAGCAGACTAACAGTATAACGCAGCAAAATATAACGGAAACAGGAACACGGGGAAGAGTTACAACACAAACAGTAACACGGGGAAGAGTTACAACACAAACAATAACACGGGGAAGAGTTACAACACCAACAGTAACACGGGGAAGAGTTACAACACCAACAGTAACACGGGGAAGAGTTACAACACAAACAGTAACACGGGGAAGAGTTACAACACCAACAGTAACACGGGGAAGAGTTACAACACAAACAGTAACACGGGGAAGAGTTACAACACCAACAGTAACACGGGGAAGAGTTACAACACAAACAATAACACGGGGAAGAGTTACAACACAAACAGTAACACGGGGAAGAGTTACAACACAAACAGTAACACGGGGAAGAGTTACAACACCATAACGTAAAGAAGTAAAGGGTTACCACATCGCCTGACGGAGGTATACGGGGTGACGACCACGATAATACCTGGATAATTACCCCGAGCCAACAAGACTATCATCATTCTTATGCTTTCTAGTTTACTTTATTCACCTCGATCACGGCAAGAATGAAAGACGAAATTATTAGTTGAGTTTGTGGTGGCTGCTGCTTGATAGCTGTCTGTCTGTCTGTCTGTCTGTCTGTCTGTCTGTCTGTTTATCTTTTTACTTGCGTGAGCTAATACACCCATATATTAACCTTACATTGACCTCCCACTACACCCACATATTAACCTTACATTGACCTCCCACTGCACCTACATATTAACCTTACATTGACCTCCCACTACACTCACATATTAACCTTACATTGACCTCCCACTACACTCACATATTAACCTTACATTGACCTCCCACTACACCCACATATTAACCTTACATTGACCTCCCACTACACTCACATATTAACCTTACATTGACCTCCCACTACACTCACATATTAACCTTACATTGACTTTTCACTACTGACGCAACAGCTAACCAGAAAAAAGGTGAATCTCGCTTAAGATTCGTAATATTTTGTTGCTCCTTTGACACTATATTATTTCGGGTCTGGACTATCTTATGGTTCGCCGTGGTGCATCTTGTAGCCTGACCACGGGGGGACTGGAACAGCCTGGAACACCGGCAACTAGTTCTCCAAAGTTAGCTGTTCCAGAGTTGACGTTCCCGGCTTCCAGGACTACTGCCGATGCTGATGCTTTCTCTGCTTTCTCTGCTGCTGCTGTTCTGCTGCTGCTGCTACTGCTGCTGTCGGGATGGACGAGAAACCTCCATTAAAAGTTTCTGCCAAGTTGTGAGTGCATGAGAGGCGGTAATGTATATTCCAGGAGACAGTCTGGATGTGCTGACCGCAGTTGTTGGAAGGTTCACCCCAGGAACTCAGCTTGGAGAAGTTGTTTAGAGGTGGTGTGAGAGGTTTCCAGTATGTCTGTCTGTCTGTCTGTCTGTCTGTCTGTCTGTCTGTCTCTCCACAAGACTCCTCGGCTGTATGGTTATGTCTTTTGTCTCTCTTTATAATCTCTTCTTCATATGGCTTCTGACCCAACTCTCTTAGTAACGGAGACTACATTGCTCTAGGCCACCAGAATCCCAAACGTTACAAGCTGGTACGTACTGTTATGTACCTGATAAAGTAGCATCTCTATAAATGGTATAATGGTTGTTGTTTTATATAAGAGACAAAAACATGTTGAGTTCATTGCTAGAAATATAGTATTTATTGTGGTTCATGTTTAGGAAATCTTAAGTGTGTGTGTGTGTGTGTGTGTGTGTGTGTGTGTGTGTGTGTGTGTGTGTGTGTGTGTGTGTGTGTTCAAGATATTAATACAACACAACCATCGTAGTGTGTGAGACGTCCTGTTGATGCGTCTCCAGCACTGTGTAATGTATACTTGCATTATATACCCATCTGTGGTCGTCAGGTCTACCAAACAATGATGTTACGGGAGAAAATCACTCCCTAGGTGATACGTGAATGTTTTATAGTGAGAACGATGGAAAACATTCAATTGATGATATTAAACCCTATTTATATTTAACATGATAGAAGGTGTCTCGGAGATATTTAGCTTTGAGGTAATATTAATGTGTTAATATCTAGCATGTTACAGAGTATTCAGGAAATTATATCATTCCCTGCATGTAGCAAGGATGATAGAGAGTATCCTGGCGATTATATTAGCATCTCTTCACAGCCAACATGATAATTAGCCCGTGCACAGCTAGCATGATAGAGCTATACAGACATACACTTACAGTACGTGTGTAACTACGTCAAATTCTATCACATGAATTAGCTTTTATGGTGAAGTGTTTACCCTGTCCGTGATTCTCTTTGTGTACGTCCTTGATTCTCTTGTTATGTTGTCCTTGATCCACATGTTGCCTATCCCGTTGAGTCTTTGGGTTTCCATCTTCGATCTCAGGGTAGGGAAGGGAGGCTGATAACAGGTGGTGGGAAGGGTAAGGCAGGTAGATAACAGGTGGTGGGAAGGGTAAGGACAGGTAGATAACAGATGTAGGACAGGTAGATAACAGGTGGTGGGAAGGGTAAGGACAGGTAGATAACAGATGTAGGACAGGTAGATAACAGGTGGTGGGAAGGGTAAGGACAGGTAGATAACAGATGTAGGACAGTTAGATAACAGGTGGTGAGCTGGGTAAGGAAAGCAGATAACAGGTGTGAAGGGTAAGGCAGGTAGATAACAGGTGGGAAGGTATGGTAGAGATAACAGGTGGTGGGAAGGGTAAGGCAGGTAGATAACAGGTGGTGGGAAGGGTAAGGAAGTAGATAACAGGTGGTGGGAAGTGTGTGCAGGTAGATACAGGTGGTGGGAAGGGTAAGGCAGGTAGATAACAACAGATGTAGGACAGGTAGATAACAGGTGGTGGGGAAGGGTAAGGTGGTGTAGATAACAGATGGGACAGGTAGATAACAGATGGTGGAAGGGTAAGGCAGGTAGATAAATAGATGTAGGATGGTAGATAACAGGTGTAAAGGGTAAGGCAGGTAGATAACAGATGGGACAGGTAAGATAACAGGTGGTGGGAAGGGTAAGGCAGGTAGGATAACAGGTGGTGGGAAGGGCAAGGCAGGTAGATAACAGATGGGACAGGTAGATAACAGGTGGTGGGAAGGGTAAGGCAGGTAGATACAGGTGGGAAGGGAAAGGCAGGTAGATGTAACAGATGTAGGACAGGTAGATAACAGGTGGTGGGAAGGGTAAGGCAGGTAGATAACAGATGTAGGACAGGTAGATAACAGGTGGTGGGAAGGGTAAGGCAGGTAGATAACAGGTGGTGGGAAGGGTAAGGCAGGTAGATAACAGATATAGGACAGGTAGATAACAGGTGGTGGGAAGGGTAAGGCAGGTAGATAACAGATGTAGGACAGGTAGATAACAGGTGGTGGGAAGGGTAAGGACAGGTAGATAACAGGTGGTGAGCTGGGTAAGGAAAGCAGATAACAGGGGGTAACCAGCAGAGTAAGGGGTAACGATGGGTAACCTGATTCTCTCTGTTATGTAGAAAGGCAACACACCGCTTAGATAATAATCACTGACTCATCACTATCACTGCTCCCACTTAATTTACCAGTGATTCACCCCCTTCTCTCCCTCTACCCCCCTTCCCACCCCCTCTTTCTCACATCTATTCTCCCCTCTCTCTTTCCTTACTCTCCATCCCTCTCAATCCCTCTCATATACCTCACATTTACACACCCACTCTCCCCTCTCTCTTTACTTTGACTTGTCCAAATTTAATCTAACATAACATAACATAACATAACAAGCTAACCTAAAATTCCTGACCTAATTTTAACTCATCCAAGCCAAACTTAACCTGTCCTAACCAGAATTAACCCTAACCTAACCTAATTTATTAGTTTTTAAGGAAACATACCATTGTGGGTCATCAGCGTACACTCATTGTATAGTTGGCAGTGATGATACAAGAATTTATTTTTTTTTGTAATAATGATAATACGATGATAATGAATTCGAAATTGTGATTAGAGAAACTTATTGTGTTTTTTGATGATGTGTGAATAATAATGAATATTGTTAAGGAATAGTATTATACATTGTAAGTTATTCCAGTCATCTCCGAACAGGGTCAGGATGTATCGTATGTTCTCTGTGTGTGGATTATGTGCTACGTCCCAAGTGACTGGAGAAAAAATCCAGGTTGAATTTCAAAACAATGTCGACGTCATTTCGGTCGTCTTTTTTCTTACTGTGTTATGTTTTAGTTAAGTAAGTCAGACAACTGTATGTTCGGGGTTTAAGTTGAGTTAAAACAATATTACTTAACCCAATGTGTAAGTGTATAGAAGCGTGACACTGAGAGTCGTGTTAGTTATGGTAGTATAGTTAGTAACGTGTGTGTGTGTGTGTGTCTATTGAATTTAGTAATGGTAGTGCTGTTAGTAACGTAGGTGTTTTTTTTTTCTCAACAGGTGTGCAGAGATGCTTCCCCCGGCCCTTCATGGATAACCTGCGTCCACTACAGTTCCGTAAGTGTTCTTCCTCACTCTTTTAACATGCTCGCTTATATATACAGTATATATATACCTCTACACACACTAAACCCACAATCATATAAGTGAAAGTCATAAGCACAAGAAGCACACATCTGTAACCTAAGTCACACCTGCCTAAATATATACACAAAGATACATATACACGCAGTTAGTGATACAGGTAGGATAACCCTTACAGTTCACAGAGGACACGTGTACTGTCTCCATATACCTGTACCAGGCCAGGTATGCCTCAGTTCTGTGGCTGGTACTCGCGGGTCAACCAGGTTAATTAAAACTGGGTGTATACCAACCACACTTAATGTATCCAACTACGGAGTACACCTTAATCCACAAGTGTCTAGGTAATAGGATTGGTGGGTGGGGGTGTGGGTGTGGGTGGGGGTGGGAGTGGGGGTGGGGGTGGGGGTGTATTCATGCTCTCTTATACCTGTGTATGGGGTGACGTCAGACCCACATAGCAGACGCCCTGGGTTGTTGACTCGTAAGTGTTACGTTGTTGTGTTTGCCAGGGTTAGCCTCGGTGAAGTAGGTCGTGTTGTCGGGGTGTATTGTGCTGTGTGACTATCTTAGTGCACAATACAACGGGAAAAACATGCCTTATAAAGTTATACAGACTTCAACTAATATTACTGGCTGGAGACAAAACTTAGATCATTTAAATAATAAATTCTATGCTCGTAGATAAAACATATTAATAGCTTTACTGCCTAATTAGTCCTCAGTTAACACAACACTGATAATTTAAGTAGTAAGAATCTCTACTAATAAAATAAGTTTATACACTCTCTTACTAACTCCTAAATGTTCCTCCCACATACATGTAACTTAACTAATTTTACCATCTACAAATATTTCAGTCTTAGATAAAAGACTTATTCACTAACAACAAATTCACCACCTATATAAAGTTATCTAAGTCACTTTACCTGTCTTGATTAGTTCCTCTGTTCCCTCAGGTCCATCAGGTGGTTAATTAGCTTATACACTATACACTTATAATGTATTTAACCCTATTGTATTTGTGTATTTTATTATATTGTGTAAGCGTTCAGGGGTGAAGATGAATGCCTGGTACAGACTATTATGATAACTCAAGTATCTCGCGTTTGTTACTCTGTCCGTCAGCTTTTCAATCACTTTACCGATCTGTGAAAGGTGTTTTAGTATCCCTGGGAAGGTTTTCGGGAGATGGGTGTCTCTGAGGCCGCTACTGAAGTTAGGGGGAAGATGAGGTGGATATCGCTGATGACGTTCCTGAAGGTGGGGAGGGGAGATAGATGTACCTGAGGCCGTTCCTGAAGGTAGGGGGTAGGGGACGGGAGGTAGGTTCCCTGATGACGTTCCTGAAGGTGGGGAGGGGGTGGAGATAGATGTACCTGAGGCCGTTCCTGAAGGTGGGGGGAGGGGACGGGAGTTAGGTGTCCCTCAGGCCGCTCTTGAAGGTGTGGGAAGGAAGGGGCGGGAGGTAGCTGTCCTTGTGGCCGCTCCTGGAGGTTGGGGAAGGGAGAGGAGCTGCCCACTACCTATAGAACTGGCCTGGTTCGCCATTTGCGAGGTACATGACTGATTCGTCGGACCCTCCAGAACTATATATCAAGTGGCAGGCATTTGTTGCAGGTGGAGATCACCCCAGGGTGGTCTAGCTGCACTCTCTCAGGTGGTGAACCTCCCTACCACCTGACCGTGAATCATCTGTCACAGTTGGGAATTATCCCGTCTGCCCCAGCTGCACCATCTGTTACAGAGGTGCCTGCCTTCGTCTGACCCGGAACAATCTGTCCCAGGTGGTGTTTGTCCGTGACTCAGCTGGTATTACTGTGCAGTACACTGAAGCATTATATTAGAGAGCTATGTAATTATGCTCAATAGACTAGGTGGGTATTATTGAGAGAGTAGTGTAATATGCTAGAGCTGTTTAAACTTTCTGAAAGCTAATTAAACATTCGTAGACACATTTAAACATTCCAAGAGGGTTGTATAAATACCCAATGAGAGCTATTTAAACATTCTAAGAAAGTTACGTGAACATTTGAAAATAGTTATTTAAGAATTCTAATACTAGTTATGTAAACATTTCAATTGAGCTATGCAAGCACTGGGAGCTATATTAACACTAATCGAGGTATATAAACATACTGAGAGTTATAAAAACATTTTAAGACCTCTTTAAACATTCTAAGAGCGCTATAATAATGATCTAAAAGAGCTATATAATCTTTCTAAGAGCTAAATAAACAAGTTTTAAGCGCGATTATAAACACACCGAGAGAGCCACGTAAACTTTCTGAGAGAATTATTTAAGCATTTGAGTGAAGCGCAGCAGGAAGCTATTGAGAGAGGAGGTAAGATATATAATTATAACCAGCACGTAGATGAGTGGTGATCTGAACAGGTGTTGGAATTAAGGCTATCACTGCTTAATAACTCTTACCCCCCCCCCCCTCCCCACCTCGAGGTAATTAGAGTAAGAGACGTTTTCTTCTTTCTTTTTTTCTTTTAGTTTTCTTGACGATGGATTAGTCAAGGAAAAAAATCCTGTCAGTTCTACGTTATATTTATGAACTCTGAGACTTATGAACCTGTGAATCCGAATCCGAGACATCACACAGTCTATTGGAAAGGGGGTGGATGATTGTATTATCTTAATGTGACCTTGATGTATTCGGCGAGTCATTATGAAGTGATTCGGGTTCATGTTATGTTATCTAAGTTATCCTGAGTCAATTTGGATCATTCTGGGTCATGCAGTTATGGTTCGTCACGTGAGTCATACATAGAGAGCTATACTGAGTCATCACACCTCTCTCATCAGGCTACAGTATAGGGATTTAATGCGCATTTGTTCCTTCTCAGTTATTCCGTTGAGATTCTTTTTTTTTTTTGTAAATTAACATTGATTATTTGATATACTGTATATATAACTATTGTTTCTACATGATGAGTCTTAAGGTAAAACTACGTCTTATATATGTATTTATTAAACGTCGAATTCAGAAAGAACTTGTAGAAACATACTGTATGTTAGGGAGTGAAGACCTGAGGACCATTAAAATATTTATACGTTGGACCTAGACCAGGTTTAACAAGTGTCCTGGTGACCTGTGTGACACGTGTCCTGGTGACCTGTGATACGTGTCCTGGTGACCTGTGTGACACGTGTCCTGGTGACCTGTGTGACACGTGTCCTGGTGACCTGTGTGACACGTGTCCTGGTGACCTGTGACACGTGTCATGGTGACCCGTATGACACTCTTGTTACTTCTCATTGTCATCTGTATATTATGGTCAAATGTGCATACTGACCACCGCTACATGGTGACCACCACCGCTACATGGTGACTACCACCGCTACATGGTGACTACCACCGCTACATGGTGACTTCCACCGCTACATGGTAACCACCACCGCTACATGGTGACTACCACCGTTACATGGTGACCACCACCGCTACATGGTGACCACCACCGCTACATGGTGACCACCACCGCTACATGGTGACTACCACCGTTACATGGTGACCACCACCGCTACATGGTGACTACCACCGCTACATGGTGAACCACCACCGCTACATGGTGACTACCACCGCTACATGGTGACCACCACCGCTACATGGTGACCACCACCGTTACATGGTGACTACCACCGCACATGGTGACCACCACCGCCATGGTGCCAACCGCTACATGGTGACCACCACCGCTACAGGACTACCACCGCTACATGGTGAACCACCACATGTGACCACCACCGCTACATGGTGACCACCACCGTTACATGGTGACCACCACCGCTACATGGTGACTACCACCGCTACATGGTGACTACCACCGCTACATGGTGACTACCACCGCTACATGGTGAACCACCACCGCTACATGGTGACCACCACCGCTACATGGTGACTACCACCGTTACATGGTGACTACCACCGCTACATGGTGACTACCACCGTTACATGGTGACCACCACCGCTACATGGTGACTACCACCGCTACATGGTGACTGCCACCGTTACATGGTGACTACCACCGTTACATGGTGACTACCACCGCTACATGGTGACCACCACCGCTACATGGTGACCACCACCGCTACATGGTGACCACCACCGTTACATGGTGACCACCACCGTTACATGGTGACTACCACCGCCACATGGTTACCACCGCTACATGGTGAACCACCACCGCTACATGGTGACTACCACCGCTACATGGTGACCACCACCGTTACATGGTGACCACCACCGCTACATGGTGACTACCACCGCTACATGGTGACTACCACCGTTACATGGTGACTACCACCGCTACTGGTGACACCACGCCATGGTGACCACCACCGCTACATGGTGACTACCACCGTTACATGGTGACTACCACCGCTACATGGTGACTACCACCGCTACATGGTGACTACCACCGTTACATGGTGACCACCACCGTACATGGTAAACACCAACCCCATGGTGACCACCACCGCTACATGGTGACTACCACCGTTACATGGTGACCACCACCGTTACATGGTGACCACCACCGCTACATGGTGACTACCACCGCTACATGGTGACTACCGCTACATGGTGACTACCACCGCTACATGGTGACCACCACCGTTACATGGTGACTACCACCACAGACATGTGACACCACCGTACGGTGACACCACCCACATGGTGACCACCACCCAGTGACACCACCGCAATGGTGAACCACCCATTGACACCACCGCCACATGGTGACTACCACCGTTACGGGACCACCGCTACATGGTGACTACCACCGCTACATGGTGACTACCACCCATGTGACACCCCATGGTGACTACCACCGCTACATGGTGACTACCACCGTACCGACTACCACCGCTACATGGTGACCACCACCGTTACATGGTGACCACCACCGTTACATGGTGACCACCACCTACATGACCACCGTTACATGGTGACCACCACCGCTAC